TAAGGTTCAAATTCGACTCGAGGTTTTATTGAGACAAGTGAACAAGGAATTACAGTAAAGACGTGATGATGACATAAAGACACAAACAACAACTTCTAGACCGTGATACTGTAGGACTGAACCTGGCAATGTTTCTCAAGTGGGGGGAAAAAAGGAAGACAATATTTGCCCAGACAATAGATTATAAAATACAGAGAAGTGAAACATGCCTGCTTACCATCACCCTGCCATGTGATTAACACTTACTGTATGCTATTGTATGTATTACTGTAAATCGGAAGGGGAGTGCATGTGTGTGTGAGACAATCTGTTGTCATATAGTAAGCTTTGATTACTTCAGGAGTGCCAAACGTGAAATAGCTGACGAGGCTGGAAATCAACTTTTTATTTATTTATGTTTATTTGCAACAAATGAATAGTTGTTAACACAAATTTATTTAATCGTATTTTTTAAATAGTGATTATAGTTCCAAGCTTACCAGAGTAATTGAGACATAAACATCTCAGATCAAGAAGGTTCCTGGTTTGAATCCCGGCTGAATCCCATGTGGAGCTTACATGTTCACCCTGTGCCTGCCTGGGTTTCTTCCCACAGCCCAACATTGCATGCAGGGTAACAGGTGATTAAACCGGCTGTGAATGTGAGGTAGATGACGTTATTGAAGTGTTTAGAATAAAGTGCTGCATGAATGTGGGATTAAAATGCCTATATTAATGCAAGTAAATTTAATTATATTACAGTCACATCAGTTTAAAGTGCTGGCTATTAACTATTTGAGGCTCTTTAACCTGTAGTGCTTTTCTTCATTAAGCGATCGCCTTATTTTGAAAAGAAACGAGTCGCTGTGCGAGAGAGACGCAGTGAAAAGAGTGTAAAGGCGAATGAGCGCAAGAGTTAAAATAATAGAGTTAAATTGGGGTAAAAATGCAAAACGTTAAATAATTTTAAATTGGGTCATCGGAGCCTGTTTGTGCTAGCTGTTACATTTTTTTGAATTGGAAGCGAGAGTGTGAGTCACCCTGCTTAAAAGGAGAAACTGTGTATCGACGATGAATAATAAGAAAAAAAATAAGAGTCATATTCGACAATCTGTAGTTTTACACTGTAAAAAACTGACTTTTACTATTACTGCAGCTTTTGATGTTTGCGCTTTAAAAAAGGAAAGAAAGAAACAGTTCCAGTACTTGTGTAAAATTTGTCAGCACTTATTACTGCCCTTACTGTAACAAAACTCTGCACAGTTTCTTCTGGTCTTTGGGCTCTTTTATGTACACCACACTGGCTGATTGTCAAGTCATTTAATGGCTCAGATGCTGCATCGCTTTCACTCTCAGTGGTTATAACCACCGCGGCACATTATCAGTGCAGGAATACTATTTTCAGCTTCTCGACTCTCAGTTTAACATGCACACGTTCTAATACTGAGCTCACACGCAGCCACTTTGACTCAAATGGTTCCTCTTTGAAGTGTTTCCCGAGACGCCAACATGGAGACCGTGAGATAGTTGCTGTAGTTGTTATTAGACGGCCGCGCTAAAAGGGGCATTCCAAAGAAAACTGCCCCATTACTGCTGCTAATTTTCCCCTTCAGGTTTCCCAACAGCAGACAAACTGATAGCAAGGGCAAAAAGGTGACTTACAGAAACCATGATCAAGTTTCCTTCGCATTAAGGTGTGAAGATTAACTGCTAAAATAAAAACTTGTGTGCAGTTCGCATGTAGGATTTCGACTTTGATGTTTGCCATACAGTCATTTTAGGGAAAATGGGTAATTTCGAAAAAGGATGTTAAGTTTCAATATCACAAGAAGTATTAGCATCTGCTGTTGTTATTACTGCCGATCACGTGTTTTCAGAACATTTGCGCTCGAAGGGGTTAACTTGGCAGTCTGACACTCTCATCAGATTAACCATCTTTAAGTTAACCGTGTTGACAGTGAAACTCACATGAGGGCACATTCAGATTGTCACTAACAAAGGGACAAAATGGCCCATGTTGGTGATGCTGGTGAGGCTGTGCAATTGTTCTTCTGAGGCAGCAAATGTTTCTTAACACGGTGCTGCAAGCTGCATGCTCCAAGGTGTGTGCGTGTGGAGTCCTGGATAATTTCATTTGTCGCCACCGGATGTAATTATTTCAGCCACTACTTCTGAGAAATGTCAGTTTGGCATGGCAGATGCCTACAAAACACTACAATACCCATGAGCCTCAGTCGCTGTTGCCTCAGAGAGGAAATGGTAGAGATATGAAAAGGCTTTCATGCTGCAGTTGAAAATAAAACACAGTGTGATGGTGTTCTCAGTTGTCTAGCAGTTTAGCATACATACAAGTACCTGTAGGAGGGTTTTTTCATGTTTAACTTCTGTTTCAGAGTTTTTATATACGCAGATGTGTACTGTACCTTCACCTTTTTAGCACAGCAGCAGACATTTCTGACACATTTCTTAATCTCGCAGGGTTTCAGTTACATCTAAAGTAGTCGCAATGACTCACCTATGAGTGTGTATGGGAAAAAATGCCACTTTGTAACTTTATACCCTTGTTAAGATAGCACATACTTCATTTATCATGTAATTCGTGTGTTTATAGCAGCCAAACCTTTCAACACAAACTACAACAAAATATTAAAGTGGAAAAAAGAAAGTGCGTGCTTACTATTTCCATAGGATTTTAGGGGGTACGTAGCAGCCAGGCACTGCTAATCAAATCCATTTCATCAATCATTAATCGTGAGCCAGTGTCAGCATCTCTGTAACAGCGGTTTTGATAGTTTGCTCCTCTGCAGGAATGTCACAAGACTGTGCAATGCTCAGAAAAACTGTAGAAACGCAAGAGCTACATTTCAGACTCTAGAGGCTGTTAAATGTTAAAGTTCATGACCGTACAATTAGAAGAAGACTGAATAAGTATGGCTTGTTTGGATGTGTTGCCAGAAAAAAGAACATGGCAGCATGGCTTAGGTTGAATCGGCGATGAACTCCTCTGTAGAGTCAAATGTGAGGCCGTCTGTCTGACAGCTGGAACTGGGCCAAAACTCGATCATTCAACGGGACAATAATCCCAAGGAATCGAGGTGTTGCAACGGCCCAGTCAAAGTCCAGACCTCAGCCTGATTGAAATGCTGTGGCAAGATTTCAGGAGAACTGTGCATAAGTGAATGCTTCCAAACCTCAAATAATGATGACTAAACAAATATCTCAGCAAGGTAAAAAGAACACAAGCTACAGCAAAAAAAAAAGAGAGAGAAAGTAAAAGTAAAAATAAGTTATTTAACTAAAATATATATTAATATTATCTTTAAGTACATCAAATCTGAATGTGATACAGTAAAATTCATGTAGTTTCATGTAGTGGAACAGTGTAAAACTATAAAGCATAATAAAAGAGAGTAAAAAAATTGTATTAAAGGTAGAAAAACAGCAAAACAAGCAGAGTAACACGTAAGTTGCACCCAAAATCTACTTGTACTTGTTGTCTCGGATGACACAAATTGTTGCAAAATGATACAGCACTTTGCCACGCAACAAAAAGTCCCCCCTTCCACCCCCCACCCCCACCCCCCGACCCTTGTTTTGCTGCCTTTGGTTGTGCGACTATTATTGTGGCACAGCAGTTTTTCGTCAGTACGAGCACACTCTGAATGTAAGCCTGATGTTTCCAATAAATGGAATTTACCCCTCATCAAAAACTTCTATATGTTGAACAATCTCTGAAGGGAAGTGGCTGCAGCAGCCCAAAAGTCCCTTCTTCTTCTTGATATACATACAAAGCGGCGTACTGAGCGCGCTCTGTGGCTACTTTGGCTGGTCAGCTAATCATTACTGTACTGCTGCGAACCAGTTTGAGTCAAGCACCCGCTGCAGCATTTTTAGATATTCTCTGTGAGTGAAGCTTAACAAGTTTAACTAAATACTCAACTGCTTACTTACACTTCATCGTGCACGCAGGGTGAAGTTTGTTCACACAAGCTGCATGAATAAAACTGTGAATGACATTATTTAAAAAGAAGCAAGAACAGAGAGAGACCGATGAAGGCTTGCAACTTGAAAACGTCGCCATTAAATACTCAAAAGGTGTGCAGGGGAGGGGAGGATGACAAGGAATGAAGGTGTAATGACGAGGGGAAAAAGGATGAAAGGGGTCTTTAATGAAAGAGGGTGAGACGCGAAGGATGGGAAACAGAGAGGCAAAAGGGTCAAGATGGGGTGAGAAGCAGGGCAGAGACGAGCAATAAGAGGAACCCGGACAGTGGGAGGGTGGAGGGCACCAGGGGAGGGATGAGGGACAAGAGGAGAAGGGAGGAAGGGCGTGGTGGGACAGACAGAGGAATGGGAGGAAGGGTTGAGTGGTGAGACAGGTCGACTGACTCAGTCTCGTTCCTGTCATCCAGATTTATAGCGGCTCGGGGTCCCGAAACAGGCCCGGAGCCGCGGCCAAATTACAGTCATCTAGAGCATTCCTCTGCTGCAAACACAGGTTAGCAGCCGGGCCGCGCTAAGTGCTAGGTGCTGCCTGTTGACAAATGACTTCCTTTGAAGGGCACAAAGAGAGAGAGAGAAAGAGAGAGACTGGATATTTTCTGTGTGAGGGCACAGAGTCAAGCAGTCTGTGTTTCTTTTGTTCGAAAACAGTTCTGCTAAAAGTAGAGACAAAGAGTGTTTGTTTGGATGCTCGTCTGGGTGTGCGTCTGCCCGTGTCGTTGTGGGTTTTTAAAATGTGGCCGCTTTTACGACAGACCCCGACTTGTGTGGAATAAACCAGTGAAACCGACTGGCATCATTGGTTTCTAGTGGAAGACACAAACACACACACACACAGAAAGACAGAGTATGCCACAGTGACCGAGAATATGTGAGTCAGTGTGTTAACGTGTTTAATGGCAGGTTCCTATGCTGCTTACACTGCTAAACCCATCAGACCTGTGGGCTGGGGATGTTCAAACACTGAGAAAACCCTGATTACAATGATGTTAATGTGTGTGTGTCTGTGTGTCCTCCAGGCGTTCACAGGCATCAGTCCCAGGACCTCTCAGGATATTACTCCCTCCCTCCTGGTGGCGTCAGCCAGATCACTCCCTCGATGAGTTGGTGAGTCAAATTAGCCCCTTTCTTAAATCAGATGGGCGATACGTACCTTTGCAACCTTCACCAGTCTGATAAAGGGATATCATTCAGGTGCTCACATCAAAGTTCAGACACAGCACAGACTTTCTCTCTGTCTCTCCTTGGTATTCACACCATTTGTTGTACTTGTGCTTCAGTGCTGTGAGGCATTCACATTCTTGACATCTCTCTTATGGATGAGGAAATAGTGAAAATGCAAGAAATAGTAATTTAGAAAAATGTCCTCATCTCGCTGCAGCTGATTTAAGATGTAAGGTCGTGGTGTGCGTGTTATTGATATTTGCGTCCCTCTTCCAAACAGTCGTGTTTTATAGCGAGCTGGGCAATTCAGGGACACATGATAGAGATTTACAGCTGTAATCTTGTGCGTGCCTGTCTGCTAATGCGACTGCGTTCAGTTCAGACTTGTGTTATGTTCTGTAAACGTTACCAGGTCTGACTTGGTAAAATTGCTGCTGTGGCTATTATGGAAAAGTGACCAGATGTTGAAGCCCTGCACTGGAAAAGAAGTGCATGTCTGGCTGTCTGCACAGGACTTTAGATCATTTGTGTCATTCCTAACTAAAAGTGGGACAAAACAATGCCCTACCCTCTGAATCCAATGGGGTTTTTTCATGTTTTCTATGCTTTGGTGATGTCTGATGGACATTTTTCAGTATTTTCCAGCGTCCTATAAACCTAAAGGGGTGTCAAACCCATTTTACATTGGGTCCCACTTTGATCATAAGTGGGACTGACCAGTGAAAAGAAGTTTAACTGCACATTTAATCCCTGACATAGTATAAGAAAAAGAAGTGCAGTTTCAACAGTACAGCTCAGTTTTTCTACAGGTTTCAATTGTAAGAATTGCATGTGTAAAATTACAGAAATTACTGAAAGAATATCTTTTTTTCTTCTCTTTTTTAAACTATGAACTCACTGTAAAAGTCATACATTTCTATAGTATACAGTAAAAAAATATGAACTTTCTGGTAGTTATTTGTTTATCTATTACTTATTTTCTTCTGCGAAGAATAAATAGCCATGGAGAAGCCATACAACTAATGAAAACACAGTTAAATATCTAAACAAAATGTTGCATTTTCCAAAGCCATCCAGTGGGCCAAATTGGAGTCTTTGGCAGGCCGATTCTAGACCCTGGGCCTTATGTTTGGCAGCCTGCTATAGACTAAAATTGTCAAAGAGAAATATCGAAAAGAATTATTAGTTGAAATTAAAGCTACACTATACTTTGCTCCAGCATAGTAATCATAGTAAACTGCATATCTTTTGTGTTTTAAAATGTTGGTCAGAAATATCAAAGATATGTGAATGTCGTCTTTATAGTTTATGCTTCATAATCCAATCAGTGGTGTTCTTCTGGACCAGGTTTCCCATCACAAACTTGTAACTAACCCTTAACCCCACCAATGTTCCTCTTTCAGCCTGATTAAAGGAGCCGCAGTGGCCTCCAAACTGTTATCCCCGTTTTTTCCCAAACACTGTTATCATTTCATTGACCTATGCCGATGTGCATACATCACAGGTTCATCTGGTGTCAGCTCAGATAACCCGTTGTCATGGAAGCCACAGCCTTTGATCCTGTTTGTTGAGGACTTCGACCCGTGGCCTCTGGTTAAAACATAATGAGTGTCGACAGCTGCAAATTTTAAATGAAAGGTCAATCAAAGTAATGGTGATTGGCCTCAAGAAAGTCCTCTGCGGCACATTTTCTCTATATATAAAGAAGCGTCTTGTGGTCTTTAAACTGAAGGATGTTTCTATGAAACACGTCTTTAAAGATGTCCTGATGGCTGCAAACATCACAATCGGGTGGGTTCAAAGATTTCCAAACAATGAAGAAAATGTTGGTTTTGGAGTTGTAGCCACTGCACTGTTTCTAGTGATAGAATTCCTTAAGTCTGTTTCTCATGGGCTCGGAGTGCAAAAAGCGGCGATGCAGAAAGCTACGCTGGACACCTAAAACGGGCACATCTGTTCCATATTCAGTCATCCAGGTTTCCATCCATTCAGAGCTGATTGTGAGCCTCCAATGTCATGCTGGTTGATTGTGAACTTATAATGTCAAACGTCCCATTGATTTATGGATCAACACAAATCCATTTATTCCAACCTACAGCATCTGTGCCTGGACAAATCCCCTCTCAGAATAGTTAAAGGCTTACATCAAATGTCATGGAGATTTGGGATGAAAGCTTAAAAAGTTTTTGTGGGCATTAGCTTACATGTGTGTGTGTTTATTTTTTTTTCTTTGTGTTTTCTTTATTTTGTGTGCTTCTGTAGGACAAGCTGCATGTCCCTAGACATTTCTCAAGTCTGTGATTTCCGGGTTTTTTTTTTTAATCTTTTTCAGACAAGAGCTCTTCATCATGGACTTTCACAAGTATTACTAACAGTTAATCTCCTTTAACCCAGATTATCTGCTTTGTTTTGGCCCCTTATAGTGTGCTTCTTTGTGGAAGGAGGAGGCGGGAATAACATGGAGAATGAGCAGTTAAATGTCAAACTGTTGTTTTCTGTTCTTTCTCTCTTTTTGTCTTTAAGTCCGTCCCTCCACGACCACCTCCAACCGTCCCTTTAGCCTGCTGGCTGGTTAAATCCATTACATCAGGAATTATAAAAGCTTTTACCTCCTGCTGACCAAAGAGTCTTGCTTTAAGCGATGCAGACATTTAAAATCAAAATTGTAAGCTGTTATCAGAGAACAGAAAAATAACAAATAAAAGAATATGAAGAACATGACTAATAACCTTATTTTCTATCAATGAGCAGCTTAAATTACAAGTATGGAGGTCTGGTTGATGATTGAATGTCATGTGACCAATTCTAACTCTGTTAATCCAAAACAATTATACTGTACTTACCGACCCTTTGAGAAAGCACCTGAAGTCTTTTTGAGGGTCTTGGCATCAGAGCAGTTGCGGTTTCTTTTGGAGATAAAGCATCAAACTCTCTTCTTGTAGGGACAAATGAAGGTCCACAGGAGGCGTGGGCAATTAGATTAATATTGTATTCATTTAAAAGTTCAAGATTGAATCTTGGGAGTCTACTAAAATGGGTTTAGATGCGTTAATGTTGAAGAAAAAACATGAAAAAAACAAACTGCGCCCGCTTGAAACACTGTTTTAGATCTTTGTTCTTTAAGGCTTCCCTTTTTAAAAGCCTAGTGTGCACTGGCTGGTCAGCTGACCTGGCAAAAGTGAGTGTATTAGTTGCATACCATAGCTGTTCAAGTGTAGACTCAGCTCTTTAAGAGCTGTAGGCTAACAACCCCCCCGGCCCCCTGCAGAGGTTAATACGTCACACATTGGTTTCATGCATTGACATTGTTTCCAAAACCAACCCCATCGTGACCATTTATTCCTCCACCAAGGCGGAGACCAAGTAGCTGTCAGCGAGATCGCATTAAAAAGCAACAACTAAGCCGGATTTTATTAAAGTTAATGGAGAGGTGGTGAGTGGGCAAAGGAATAACTGAGTACATTTTGCAGAAGCTCCAGATCAATTTCTATCAAACTGTAGAAGTGGGTATTAACTTGAGTATGCCTCAAGTTTTTAACAGGTTTACAGTCAGATGATTCCTAACAAGCAGTTGAGCTTTTTTTCCTCTGTGGTTGCAAGGACAATGCAATCAAAAATAAAAGTCATGTGCTTGTTCCTGGGTTCTTCAGGTGCAGGTTGGGAGGCAGCTGCTCATTGTTTTGACTGCCAGCATGTTGAAGGAGCTGTTAGGGCTAGGTGTGAACTATGCAAGCTTGTTACATAGTGATGTAAATAAGTCACGAGAAAAGCCTGTACTACAAACAAGGAGCTTCGGGTGGCGCAGCAGCAGTGCTTTCTGTGGCCTCCTAACTTTGCAGAACACAAGGAGCTATAGAGCACACTAAACAAAGGGGGGAAACCCTAAATGCATAACATGGGAACTTGATTTATTTTAGTGGCTATGGATTAAAGAGGATTGGACTGACTAGTGGACTGTTTGACTCATTAGATTCAGCGATATGAAGGAAAAAAGAAAGAAAAGTGGATGGGCCATTTAGTTTGAACCGCTTTTGTCTAAACTGTGTCGTAGCGTGGCCTCAGCTGAAACAGGGTTACAGCCGGAGCTGAGGCCACTAATCTCCGGATCTCGTCCCAGTTTAGGGTTTCTGCTGCTGGGCTTTTCTGAATGTAAAAAACCTCTGGAGAACAGATACAGCTGAAACAAAGAGGAAGAGATTAAAAGGAGATAGCAGAGTGTGATGATAATGATGATGATTGCAAAGGTGGTGTAAATGGTAGATGTGGAGCAAGCGAGCGTGTGCTGACATTCACAAACACCAGGATGAGTCAGTCGAAGGGGAGGATGGTTGCATTTGCTCTCTGGAGGTAGGTTTTTTTTTTTGGGAGGGGAGGGGGGGGGGGGGGGGGGGGGTTTCTACATATCAAAGGCTTTTCCCTACACCCGCTCCCCACCCGCGACCTCCCACGGTGTGAGTATTTGTTTGTGCTCCCAGTAAGTCAAGTATTGACGCACAGCTGTCAACAGTGCTGATCCAGGCTTTCCAGGGGGTGCATCACAGCATCACGACGGGCTTTAAGGATTGTGAATTAACTTTATGTTAGAACCATCAAATAACACACAAGTCCTGAAGTTTATTTTATTTGGGTTTAATTCTGTTTTGTTTGCGTATTCAAATGCAATGCGGTATGAAATGTACATGGGTGACTTGAAGAAATGTATGCCTGAGCACGGACAGAACAAAAAAAGAAAAGCTGAATGAGTGTTCGAAAGCATCTCTGCAAAACTTTCCACCAGATTAAGAGACAACTTATATTGATGTTAAAGGATGGGAAAGGCACAGGAATGACAGCAAATTTCAGGGGTAAGGAAGTTTGTTGGGAATTTGGAGGATTATGCAGTGGAATAATGGTTCTGGAAGCATTCCATTAGGTGACCTTAATGAATCTGTTTCCACCTAATTCCTTAATTTAACCATTAAGGGCAACAACAAAAAAAACTTTTACCTGTTAAATTAAAATCTTCTGCTCCCGTCTCTTCCCTCTGCTGTGCTGTGGCAGGCAGAGCCAGCCTGTCTATCCTGCCCTGTCCCCATGTGGATTCAGGCAGCCCTACCCCTCCAATCTCCCCAGCGCATCGTCCTACTCCAGGTACCGTAGCCGACTGGCCAGCTTGAGCCAACCCGATCCGAGTTGGGGTTGGGGGAAAAAAAAGGGCAACGCTCTGCATCACCAACTCCTGTTTATAGCACATCTCAAACGTCTGAGCAGGCGTTTTCCATTCACCGTGGCAAACTCATGTTCGGCCTGATTTCTTTGGACAGCTTCTGTAAAATTCTATTGGAGCCAGTGTGCTGTAAACAGGACCAGTTCAGTGTTTCGCCAAAAAGAAGCTGAGTCAAGCCAAGCTAATCGCTGCTGCAGAATATGAAATGTCACACACACACAGAGAAATAGAAACAACCATTAGGACAGCTGCTTTATTTTTTCTTTTCGCTGCCCTTAAGCTTTGTTCTGGTTGTAATTGTGTCTTGTCTTTATCTCGCTGTAAAAACTTCAATGTTTTTAAAAAAAAGAGTGTTATTTTAGTCGTCATTGCAGATGCTTTTCATGTTTGCAAGCACACGCACGGGAAAATTAAGTGTGAACCCACTGTGAGTTTAAGAGGGTTTTTGTCTTGAGTCAAATTTGCAAACCCTTAAAGATCTCTGCTTGCAACACACAGATGCTTTCTCTTTGTGTTAGTTGCCTAAAATAGGCGAAGAATCCCCAGCCTGTTATGCCAGACAGGCTGGGGATTCCTCATAGCCTGTTGTCAGTGACTCTGGTCTGTTGACAAGAGGCACAGTGTTTAACAACCCAAAATGGAACAATTAGGGACAAATTACTGATAGATATCGCATAACTAACCTGCAAACAGGTAGGAAAATATGAGGGAAATACAAAGCTAGATCACATCATGATTGGTGGAATGCATTTTTGCTCCCTACGAGTCAAGGTGTGTGACACACGAAGAAGCGTTTTCCCCTCAGTGCCCACTTCCCCTCTCTCTCGCTCAGTAATGTTTGGTCGCCCTCTAGTGGTGATAAATGATGGCTTCACTCTTACACAAAAATAAACTTTAAAGAGCTTCTTTGTCACATTTGTCCCGTGTTCTGTATTGCATTTACTCAGCTGTAGACACAAGATGAAACACAAACAACACTGATATGAAGCCCAGTGGACTTTCCATGCTTTCAGGCTCACTGCTTACATAAAACTGTCGCTCCTGCTTTGATGCTTACCGCCCTGCCGCCTCCTATCCTCAGTGCATCTCTATGAACTCACCTTTTTTGTCACCCCCCCCCTTTCTCTGTCTTATCCCCCCCACCCCCTTTCCTCTGCTTTTTTTTTCTTCTTCTTTTTACCCTGCACCAGGTTTTCTCACTCGCTGATGCTCGGCCCATCGGGCATGCATCCTACAGGGATCCCCCATCCAGCCATAGTGCCCCCTACAGGCAAACAGGATCACGAGCAGTATGACAGGAGCATGTACGTGTAAGTATACCCCTCGCTCCGTTTTAGGTACATTTATATTCATGGCTCCACCCTTTGTCACAGTGTAAGAAACTATAAAGTTCTCACAGCCTCATTCCTTCACCCCACGTCTTCATCAGGAAGCCACAGGTGGAGCCCAAGCGGGAGAAGGAGCCCAAGAAGCCGGTCATCAAGAAACCTCTGAACGCCTTCATGCTTTACATGAAGGAGATGAGGGCAAAGGTCATCGCCGAGTGCACATTAAAAGAGAGCGCAGCCATCAATCAGATCCTGGGACGAAGGGTGAGGGACACACACACACACACACACACACACACACACACACACACACACACACACACACACACACAGGCATGCACATTGAAAAGCAGACTAATCCTGTTTCCAGGTCAGTCAGTAATTTCACACATGAGGAACATGAGAGGTAATGTGAACTCTGTTTCCCTCACTTACCAGACTGGTACTTATCTAGCACTTCTCTACTTTACCTGCACACTCACAGCACTTTCTACCACTACACACACACACACACACACTCCAGTGCTCATGGGTGCTGGGAATCGTACCACTGACCTTCCGATTAGTAGATGACTCATTTTTTCAGCCACATCCGCCCCTTATTCTCATGCAGTAGTGCAAAAAAAGTAAGAGGAGTTACAGTCTATTGAACCTGTAGTACCCACTCAGGCACAGGGAGAGCATGCAAACTCCACACAGAGGGTTCGAACCAGGAAGCGTCCTCCTGTGAGCCGACATTTCAAACCCCTGTATCATCCAAATCCTTACATGATTATGTTATAAAGAGAGCGTCCCAGAGATGCACTGCCTTTCTTCTGGAAAAATGGAGAGAGGTTTCTCATTTTATTAAAGACTTCAATGGCCAGTAGTTAACAAGGTTTAAAAATTACCCTCCTAAATGTAAAACTGTGTCTACGGTACATAACATCATTAGGAGAGTCAAAGGATTTGAGAACAGGCCTGGAAAACTGAGCCTGGGGCCCTCGGGCTGCGCTGCATTAAAAACAGAAATGATTCTGCGATTGTTATCACTGTAAAGGCTCAGGAACACTTCAGGAAACCACCGACGGCAGCAAATGCAAATTGACACGCGATGAAGAAACATTTAAAAACAACATCCAGCTCATCTGTGCCGTAGAAAGAGAAAAACCGTCCTGTTGTCATAAAAATCTCCGTTATAATTCATTTATAGTAAAAAATGAGCACATATTCCACACAGAAAAATAACATTTAAGTTTCTCTCTTTGTACTATTTTCACTTTTTTGTATATTCTCAATAGAAAGAGAGTTTAATGATCAGATCAGTTCAAAGCCATTATCAAAGACTTTATTGCCCAAAACCCAAAAACTGTATAAAGGCAAGTCTGTTAAAATACTGACCTTCCTTTTGTTGTGTGTGTTTCCAGTGGCATGCACTGACCCGGGAGGAACAGGCCAAGTACTACGAGTTGGCCAGAAAGGAAAGACAACTGCACATGCAGCTCTACCCAACTTGGTCTGCTAGGGACAACTACGTAAGAATATGTTCTTCTTATTCCTCCCTCCCCTGTGTTCATGAGCCTATTCAGAGTGAGAAGAAAAACAAGCCGATATGACTAATTTCCTGAGCCGTCTGAAAACAAAAGCAGGGATATGCAAAAGCTCTCCCACTTTTTAAAATGGAAAAATAAAGGTGTGCAAGGCAGGGAATGTTGCAGTATCTGCAGTGAACATCATTTTCCATTGTTACTGGTTTACCGCAGTTTACGGAAAACAGTGATTTCTTGTGGCGAGCTCTAAAAATGCACTGAAAACTGTGCTGAATTACACACAAAAAAGAAAATTGGAAGAAAAAAAATGTCCCCACCCCCTAAAATAACTTCTAAAACTGCAGTTCTACTGATGCAAATGGTATTTTCTGAAATAAAATCCTCCCCTTGGATTCTTGGGTCATTGATTTATACCAATCTGAGCTTCCAGATGCATTAAAATAAAAGCCAGGAATCAGCAGAAGCTATTCACGCTTTGTTTTCTGTAAGGAGAAAACCATTTAATCAGAACCTGCTCTCTGGTGTGATTTCTGTGCAAGTGAAACCAAGAACAGGATCAGTCTCATGAAATCTGTTGTTTCTGACACTCTCAATGCCAGTGTTCTTAAATACAACGAATAAACTTATGTGGTGCATGCATTCTAGTTTCTGGCCTGCTGTGTGCCTTTGACTTCTCAGTTTGCTGTTGAACTCTTGCAGGAGGCGGGCCTTAGCGGGGTCGCAGGGGAAAAGAATAAAGCTGATTGGGTAGGGACACGTCTTATGGTGGATTTATACCTCTGTGGTGGGGGGAAGAAAAAAAAAACTAATGTGAGGATTTGCATGAAAGGGGTTGTGGGTATTCCTGTTGCAAAGTTTGCATGCACCTTCCAAAAAAAACAAACCAAAACAAAAAATCTGAGTGACTCACCCATGTCAGCCTCCCAGACAGCACGCACGCAGGCGGCGGCAGCCACACGAGCCGATGTGATTGGTCAGTTTTGGATATGGCCTACGCTTTTGCAGCTGCTACGCCTGCAAGTATGTTAACCTTTGAAACACTAAATCACACAGAGGTATAAATCAGCCCGTTTGCTCGACTAACAGAGAGCAGGGCTGCATGGCTGGCCTCACTGCCTTAATATATAGCTTCAAAACACAGCACCTTCATTTTTGTAGCAACACAGCAAGACGTCTGTAAAGGAGGTTGTGGATGTTCTGTTAGAAAGACAACCCCGGTTATGTTTTGCTGTGCCTGCACTCTCTTGCTTCTCTACACGTGATTGGTTACCGAGCTGAACTCTGCAGGCAGGCAGGCAGGCGTGGGAACTTGGTAACACTTTATCTGGACTGTGGTTTCTAACATGTTTGAAACATCTAAACTGACACACAGATAACAGAGTAGCACAAGAAGATACCCCGTGACCGCATATGTCAAAATTAAGGGTTGCGAGGCGACCCGGAGAGTGTTATTTCTGCACTCAGAAATTACCCTCATGCTGTTGTGAAGGTGTTGTAAACCAGAGCTTTAATACTCTCTGATCGCAGGTGTAGGAGCCGTCGCTGTATGCACGGAGCTTTGAACATTGTCTTCACCTCTTAAACGGCTCTTAAATGTCACGATTCTAAGCACTGTAATTAAGCATAATCCACACTCTGTGGCTTTTTGATAGGCATACGGTTCAAGTTTGGAGAATTTAAAGGGATAGTTCACCTCAAACAAATATGTGTTTTCCACCGGAGCCCGTTTAGATTGTTTTGGCTTGAGTTGCCAATTGCACTTGCTTCCAGGTGTTCAGGGATCAAAAACAGCAAAACCCCGTTTTCGCAAAGGAACTATTTTCTTTTCACTGTCCACATCCGCCAGCTGGAGACAGCTTGCAGATGCTCAGTTCAAAAAAGGGGGTCACCATTAGTGTTTACATCCTGTCGTGCTGTCTGTCGTGAGCACAAAGTTTTCATCACAGGCAGATGCAGTTCTCCTTCTGCACTGTGGATTAGTCTGCAGTTCCATTACTTTTAAGAGAATTCCTTCAAAAGTGCGCAACTCAAATCAGAGCGGTCTAGATGGATAAATAATTAGGGAAAACTAGTAGATTTTGCCATGAATGCTCCTTTAGTGTAAAAATATTCTTGGGATATATTGTTAGTGACACGACACGCTCCAAAATGCTTTTGAATCGATCACAAAGTCCAGGATTTTAAAGAAAGCCTGAAAGGGCCACTTGATGATCAGTCCACAAACTGTTTATAGGTGAAGGACTGAGCTTTAAATATCGTCTGATGCATTTGGAAAATAAATAAATGAATAAAAACAAACTACCAAGTGTCCTCGCTGCCCTCTGTTCTCCTTCTGAGTTAAAAACAAACCACTGGACCTACGAGCAAAACAGGAAGTGAAGTTCCACATATCGCCCACACACCTGTGGAGGGTTTCTCCTCCAGTTCCCCCACTCAAAAAAAAACAAAATACATACACTATTATACTACATATAGGCTAGTATATGCACACACACACGCACACACATACGCCCACAGACTAAGAAGCTTCAGAATGGTGCACTTGCAAGAGGAGTAACCACATATACAATGCTGACAGCGAGCTGAGGAGGGTTAGACATCGAAGCGTAGGCGGTAGATTTCTGTGCCCACATCCTTCATCGCACCCAAATATGAGGCCTCACTTCACCATCACCGGATCTGTGTGAACAGCTCTGATGTTTACCTCAACAGTCACACATTACAATCAGCCTGGGGACACAGAACAAATGCAAACACGAATATGAAAACAGTTAGGAGTTTACAATGGCTTTAATCTGAATTCACGTTTCCCCCCTTTACTATTAAGGCCTTCAGCTTCTTTACTGTGCAGATTTCAGTTGATAGAAATGCCAGCCGAACACGGTGATTAAAAGTTATCTAAGACACTTGCACGTAACTTTTATCCTGCTTGAGATAAGCCAAATGAACTGGAAGATCTGCTGGTAGTCAGCAGTGTAGTCAAGAGTCCGACTCATTTCATTTCTTTGGCTTTTTTTTGTTGTTTTGTTTTCTTCTCCTCAAACAGGGCAAGAAGAAGAGGAGAAAAAGGGAGAAGCAGCAGGACTCCAACACAGGTAAACCTCTAAATATGGATTTCCTTGCTCTCGTCTGACGGATGGTTAAACGTTTTTTCAAAAGCCACACACACAGAAAATGACCAGTGCCAAGACTTCTGGATTTCAGAGAATTCAGTCGAGCTTGAGTTTGCGTTGGCGCTGCGTGCGGCACGGCATCTCGGTGTGCAGGATGTGTCTCAAACGTCAAACCACCCACCCACTCTGCTTTCCATGTAACCTCAATTACAAACATTTGAATCCCAGTGTGCAAAACTTTGTGCTGATCTTAGCTGTTCCAAGTTTAAAAAAAAGAAAGAAAGTCAGCCATCGTGGCAGAAAGGAAATCAAAAAGTCTTATCGCATGACTAGCATTTTCCCTTTTCCACCTCCGCCATGTATGAACAATAACAAGCTTCTCAGCTCTGACCTGTTCGGTTTTGAGAACGCAGACGTGGTAGTTATCCACGTCCCAAGTAAACCACTTGAGTGCTTGTGGTAATACTATAAAAGCTACTACAGCATCGGCACAATGGCATCAAAGGTGAGACGATAAGAGGTTGTAACACTTTTGTGATTGTTTTAAAGAAGGTCGTGGATGTTCGGCGTCTTCTCGATGCGCGGCAGCAGATAAAAGAGCCTCGGTCTCCCCTCAGCTCGTGCTAGAGCGACCTGAGTGCTCTGCCTTAACTGGCACGATGCTTCATTTTACCGTGCAGTAACACCGAAGTATATTTACTTACAGTATTGTGTAGGTCCAGAACCATCCCTCATTTCTTTGTAAGTGGTCTTGAGCAGTAGCTCTCCAGGCTTTCTGAAGGTCTTTTAGTGTTTTTCTTTTCAGTCCAGTACTTGTACCTGAACATTTTCAGAGATTTTTGTTGTTGTTGTTTCTTTTTTATATTTGAAAGATTGATAAATCAGGGTTAAATGGTTTTACCAAAGACACCAAACACAGAGATATCACCCAAAGCTTCATCACAAATGGTGTCAGTGGAAGGATGCCAGTCAAGAAGCCATTCTTAAGGGAGAAGGGGCTGAAGTATATCAGATTATGCAAGAATTGGATTAAAAACCAGTGGGAACAGGTCTTATGGAGTAATGAATCCATCTGTAAAACACAATGGAAACCCTTCATGGTTGAGGGCGACATTTTAGCCAGTGGTGTTGGGGATCTTGTCCGAATGGAACTATGTCCACTATGCCAGAGGTGTCGAACTTCAGGCCTCAAGGGCAGGTGTCCTGCAGGCTATAGATCTCACCCTGGGTCAACACATCCGAATCAAATGATTAGTTTATTACCAGATCTTTTGGAGAACTTCAAGACATGTTGAGGAGGTAATTTAGCCATTTAATGATCTGTGTTGGATCAAGGACACATCTAAAACCTGCAGGACACCGGCCCTCGAGGCCTGGAGTTCGACACCTGTGCACTATGCAAAACCAGCTGGAAATTGTCCGATAGGCATGGCAATAATCCCAAACATACTGCAAATGCAGTAAAATCATAGAAAAACACACAGTGAGACACTATTAGCACTATTAGTCATGGATTGGCCTCCACAGAGCCCAGGCCTCAGCTTAATTAAGCGGTTTGGGATCATCTTGACAGAAGCCAGAAAACATCCAAAGAAGAGCTCTGACTTCCTCAGGAAGCCTGGAGAACTGTTCCTGAAGACTGCTTCAAGAAAGCTTGACTAAGAGAGTTCAGGCTGTGTTGAAGAATAAAGGTGATCATACTAAATATTGACTTTAACTCTGTTTGTGTCTTATAGACTGTATTTTAAAATATGGTTGCACATTTAAGTAAATCTCTGCACGTTTTTCCTGTTTTACATACAAAATATAAAGAAATGAGGGGTGGCTCAAGACTTGTGCACATTAGGGTATTTTCAGCAGATGTTTCAGAAACCGGAAAATATATTTTTTTTGGATTTGGGCGTCGTTTTAGAAACTGAAAACCCTTGAAAGGTCCAGTACTAACAGCGTGACAGCACGGCTGCTTCTTCCTCTGTGTGTTAACTGACCCACATGTTTAACTAAGTTGTGTTGGGCGGTTGATCTGCTGGTTGTTAATGTCGCATTGTGCCGTAACCATCTACTAACAGTTTTACTTGATGGCTTTTTCCGAACAAACGGTGCTTTTGTCCTGCCCTGACGAGCTTGTTTCTCTCTTCGTCTCCTTCTTGTCTGTGTCTTTTGTCGTCTAACCTGTTTCCTCCCCTCTTCCTCTGCTTTTCCTCCTCCCCTTTTCCTGTGCATGCCACGCATTGTGCTCAGACCCGGGCTCTCCTAAGAAATGCCGGGCTCGCTTCGGCCTCAACCAACAAACGGACTGGTGCGGTCCTTGCAGGTGTGTACCAACCATCCACCCCACTCGCTCCGCAGCACCACGCTATGCTCACGACTCCCCCATCTTTCTTCTCAGACCGCTCAAGTGCATCGTGTCTCTCTGATGCCGTAGGAGGCAGAGCAGTCTTGGAGGTGGCATCAATCTCATTAATCCCATCAAGCTTGTTTTTTTTTCTGTTTTCCAGGCCTTTTTTTCAGCCTTTTCATTTGTCCAACAAGTAAACTGCTGAATGAAGACAAGCCCCCTCCCCTATTGTGATTATACCTGCCAAGACGAGCTCTACCTCCTCGTGTTTGAGGTCTGCATGTCATCTCTCACTAACCTGCTGCTCTGCAAATAGAACCCATACATATGCAGTTAATATATAGCAAACAGCGAAACATGCTAACTTTAGTTAGGCTTCAGTCATGTGTTTACTTGCAGGTAAAAGGTCAGACATGCAGATTTAGAGGTGTCGCATGAGTTAAAAATGTATTTAGAGACATGTTTTCACACCCCGTCACTCCACCCCTATATTTAAGTCTGTAAATATATATATGTGATGTCTCACCCACACCATCGAGGTTAGTTTGGGTTCTTCAGCACCACTGGCATAATGCCTTGCATAAGCAGGCCCTCTGTAGTGAATGGCTAGAGGTTAAAGGGGAATACCACTCATTAAAATGCTCTCTTTCAAAAAACAACAACAAAAAACAGTATTATTCCTTCCTTATGTAATTGTAATAGCATCACCATTTGTCAAAGGTCAAACTTCCACATAATATTTCTTTGAGTGAAGAAGCTCAAACAGATGTATGTTTCCAAGGTCGCCATATTGGAATCATTAAAACATGTCGGGAGCCACGTTTCTAAACTCAAGCTGGGAATTTCCCTCTTTTCCCTCTGTCAGCACTGGATTAGTCCGAGGCAGTTGGTGTTTTACAAAAGTAAAAGGAAACTGGGTGCGCAGGGATTATTTAGAGATCAGGTACGCCGGCTTCACCGGTTGTTTTATTTATCTGCCAGAGCAGCTCATTTGTCTTCTTTATTTATTTATTTTTAAATCCATTCTCAAAACTGCAGCGCTCTCGGATGCGTTTCTCCCCAGCGAGAGCTGACGAATGGCAGCGGCACAAGATAAATGATCAGAAGCGGGCCCGTCAGCAGCTCGCACGGCCGGGTTTGAGACGCGCCAGGATTCACGGTGCACGGCAGCCCAACGGCTTTGCTGCAGGAGTCAGGGATCTGTGTGGTTCTGCAGAAAAAGTTTCTACCACCACAGCACTGTAGAAACCCTGTCGTCTTCCCCACCATCACGTCATGGAAATCTGAATGTGTGTGTGTGTGTGAGTTTGTTTCGCTTTGAGAGAACAAAGGGGGCTGAATGTGGTTAGAGCAAATCCTTATCACCACAGCTCCACACAAACACACACACACTAGCGCGCTCCCTGCAGCTTTGCATTTTGACGGCATTCTCATGCCCATCTGCTTTCAACTTTCTCCATTCATGCGATGTGGTAACGGGCGCCTTTTGATGGTGAACTCTGACATTTAGAAATCACTTTCTATTGCACTCTTCCTGCCTCTCTCCCTCTCTAAATATGGCCTAGCGCCTTTCCTTGCGGTTAAACCCGGTGACTCATATCATATTCTGGTAATGATCATGGGATCCTGTTAACTGCTTTGATGCTGCACTCAGCGGTACACAAGTCTGCTTTTAAGTATAACACCTCACAAAGCACAGCAGGGTTACTGCTGATTGCCTATTAGACACATGTAATACGTTCGGTTCAGAACAAAAAGAAGTAGAAAACTGAAACTCCAAACTAATCGCTACGCAATTCTAATACTACTTTTGTGGTGCTTAGGTTAAGTGAAAGTGTCAACTCGCAGGCTCTGTGTGTTAAATCTTTAATCAAAGGAGTTCATTCATTCATGCTAATAGCACTAATATAATCACGGAGGCGATTTTTTAAAACTCATTTTAAAGTCGAGTGGTATTCCCTGGTTTCAGTTATCAGGATTTTGTGTGGATGAAAGGATCAACAAGGTTTATAGCCTTTGCATCAACTATAGAAGCAGACGTTCACAAGTTTAGCTTAGCATAAAGGTGCGAGAAGAGTTCAAAAAATGAAATCTTTTTAAAGATTTTAACGAGTTGCTTTATTTCACAAAAGGTCCGGTGTCCACAATTCAGATGAGAGTTATTATATTTTGTTTTTGTTTTTTCATTTCAATTTGATTTATTTGGCTTTTCTTGTTTTGGTTTAGTTTCATTTTAATAGGGATCAGTATTTGTCAGGGGTTAAATCTAAGATGCTCAGAAGAGATATGAAGATTTAGATTCCCTACTATTAATAATTATATGCATCCCTGGTCAGCTGCAACTATTCTATTGCCAAGGACCAAAATTAAAGATATTTCCTGCACAACATTGTATCAGATGTTTATCTTTATCTATTTTTTCTTTTTTCCTTTTTTTTAATTATATCTCAGTTTTTCAAACCTGGGATTAGAGCTGTACTGCTGTCATTCCTATGACATCATATTAGTGTTGCTACAGGACTGTCATTTCAACTGACCAATAGGGCTTTTCAAGCCTTTCAGGATGGAAGGGGCTATTTTAAACTACACTATGTTAAAGCTAAATTAAAAACTTCAACTGAAAACAGAAGAAAAAATACAAAAACAAAAAGAAAACAATGTCTGACTTTTGTGTTTTCTTTTTTTTAAACTTCTCTTTATCAGATTTTATACAGTACTGTTTGAATTTTGTTTTTTAATATAGCACCAAATCACATAACAGTCGCCTCAAGACAGTAAAAACCCTACAATACTGCAGAGAAAAAACCCTAACAATCAGACTCCTCGTGAGCAAGCATTTGGTGACAGTGGGAAGGGAAAACTCCCTTTTGAAAGGAAGAAAGTTCCCTTACAGTCTGCTCTGCAATTCAGTTCTAATGTGATGCAGTCAACATTTAAATATAAATGACACAATTTCAGAATAGGGGTGCATAAAAGAAGAATGACAAACAACTCAAACAGCAGCACGCACACACAAACGAGCATAAACGGAAGAAAAATTGGTTTGTTATGGACATTCCCATGTAAGCAGGGCCCATGTCTTACACAGCTAGCATATTTAAGCTTTCCTAACTTCAAGTAGGTCATGACATCCCTCAGCCATCTCATATGGGAAGGGAACACGAGACCTTTCCAATTTTAAGGATAAGATGACGAGCTAGCAGGAAAGCAAACTTTCCCCTCATTCTCAAATCCCTGTCACTGAAGCTCTCACTATATCCTTACACATCACTGCATTTATTCATTAGTTGTCATTAAACCCCGCCTCTCTTCCACAGTGTGTTTTTTGTCCTGTCTCCGCCCCTTCACCCCTAACCAGTTGGCTGCTCCTCCCTGAGCCTGGTTCTGCCAGAGGTTTCTTCCTGTTAAAAGGGAGTTTTTCCTTCCCACTGTCGCCAACTGCTCGCTCAAAGGCTCTCATTTGATTGTAGGATCTCTGCTTTGTAATTTAAAGCACCTTGAGGTGACAGTTGTTGTGATTTGGCTCTATATAAGCAAAACTGAATTAAATAACAGCACGACTGGTCAGCTGCTATTGTCGTCCTGGAGCAACACAGACTGGCGCTGTAGTAAGCCAATCTGCATCTGACACTGTTGTGATGCACATTGCGTGTCTAACAGAAACCACCCTTTCGCCATAAACGCACAGAGACTCACAATGTGCAAATGGTGGCATTTACATTGCTCTGGAACTGACCTCCTTCACGTAGAGACATCCACATACTGCTATTGTTCGCTGTGTCCATTTGTGTCCCTGCTCATTGACCTCAGTGTGAATGTTGCATCTTCACTAAAGCCTGCTGACATTTACCATCCACACTTTATTCACAGATAACTCTCTCTGACTGTTCCTAGGAGGAAAAAGAAGTGCATTCGCTACCTTCAAGGAGGAGGCTGCCCCAGCCCAACTTCTTCAGATTTAAGTGCTATAGACTCTCCCCCGTCCCCTTCTCCCGCCCGACACCGTCTCTTCCAGCTCCAGCGGCCCCCCTCCCCGGGCTGCTCCCCGCCGCCGACCTCCCCTTCGGCACGTCTCCCCTTGTCTCCGCCAGCGCATGCACTCTCACACACGCGCTTAACTCCGCAGCAGTCTGCCGGCAAACGCGGGGACCTCCGCACGGTCGCAGCAAAGCACCCCCACGCACACCCGGAACTGTCCAGCAAGCAGACGCACAGCCCGTCGGTGCTGTCGGCCGCCAAGGCCGCAGGACTCTCTCTCAAAGTGCTAACAGAGACCCAGTGATGGCTGTGGTCTGCTCGCATCAACAACCCCCACACTCCTCAGCTTCCTCCAGAGCCGTTACGATCATCCTCATCAGCTGACATCAGTTTTATGTACACCCCCTCCCCCTGAGGTTCATTTGATGTTACAGAAAAAGGAGCAAGTTGAAGGCATCGATCCCTCCCCTACCCCACCCTATCCTCAGTAGGACAGTAGCTGTCTCTTAGTTCAGAGGCTGGATTCGTCAATATCTGCATTTTTACGGTCACAAAGTCCTTCTCAAAGAGATCTGTCACGTGACATTACATTAAGCTGAGGACACAAGCCAATTTGAAGGATCCAGTCACTGAACTGGTGACCAAAAATCCACCAGCTTTAGAACACATAGTAGCGAGCAATGCTAAGGTGCATGCAAAAACAAAACAATAAAAAAATGATTGCGGTTCTTTGGCTCCACCTGCTGCAGTTAAAACTCAACTGAAGTGATTATCATACTTTATGGATAAGTAACTCCATAGCGATGACAATCTGACATACTTTTACTCTTAAAGCTTCACCATCACATCCATCTCCTGGAAATGTTATCACCCATTTATAAGAACCACAAGAGGGGAGCAAGGACCAACTGCCACCCAACCTGACCAGCAGAACCTCAGATTCCAAGAGGCATGGATTCACTTTCAATAGCTGCCATTACACAGTCTGACTCTAAGTTTCCCCCTTTTTCTTCCCCAAACATTTTCATGAATACTTGTGCAGCTTCTTTGACAAAAAATATATAAATATATATTTCCAGCAGTTTTAAAAAGAAAATTCTGAAGTTCACATTACTTTTAGGCACTTTCAGGCTGTCAATCTATGGCTTCACCAACTGTTACATTGTTTGTGTTTTTGCATAATTAGTGGTATTTTTTTGTATGAATCTCATGATTTTTAAGGTCAGGCTTTCTACAGGTGGGAATCCCTCAGAAGAGTGTTATTGTCTTTTAAGTCTTGTTTTCCTTTGAACATTTTCCAGCGCAGCAGATTAAACTGAGACCAAATGGGTACTATTATATTGCATTGTGTTGTAAAGTTTTATAATTAAACTTTTATATGGTTTTGTGTAAAAAAAAAAAATTTTAAAAAAAAGTTTAAAAAATATTCTTTTTAAAAAAAGTTAGTTTCTACCATTTCTTAAAGCAATACATTCGTTTGTCTTGTGCAAAGTTTTTTTTTGTCAAGTGTCATGGTCTTACTCTGCATTTTTACAGCTAACGTAACAGACATTTTGATTTTTTTAATAAGGCTTTAATTTTCTTTTCTGCTTAGTTTCTACTCTGTGGACAAACTAGAAGCTGAGTTTTTTGTACAGCAATATAGTTTCCCTCCACCAGAGAGAGCTATTGTGCTAGAAGTAGTTTGCAATAGTGGCAGCACCTCAAAGATGTCCAGCATTTTATTTTATTTTTTCTTTTAAATGCCTTTGATGTGTTATTGTGTTTTTGATTGTTGTAATAAAGTGTTTTGACTATCTGGTCCACGATTCCTTGAGATTTAGACCCCCACCAACCACAACTAAAAACAAAAAGTGACAGACACCATCCATTTAATGTTTTATTTACTCCTTCAGTATGTTTGAGCATCCCAAAAACCAGCATCAGAGCTTAACTGGGAAAAGTTTTCAATTCGCTACAACAGCGCATGTGTTACCCAACGCTGCGTGATAACACAAGTACTTCGAGTCCAGGGGGACATTATGCATTTAAAAACAAAGTAATCATTCTACCTCAAACTTCACTTTTCCTATAAACGTCTCCTTGACATGGTTTCACAAAATGGACACATTTACAGAGCAAAAAGAAGAAAACAAATTCACCCTCGCATATCCATTGTCAAAAAATGCATTTTATTCATTCACTTAACCTAAAAGAAAACAATGTCAAGTTTAAAAAAAACAAAAAAAAAAAAAAAAAGGCAGAGCAGTTAATAACAGGGGAAATCTGAGGAGTCTTCGAATCTTTAAAAGGATACAAAGCCGTGAAACCAGGACCATTTATTTTATGTCAATACACAACGTGAGTGTGCGCAAACAGAAGAGAGCTTGGCTTTAAATTAATGACACCACACAGGCAAGTTAAAATAGTCATGCTATTATCAGAAATTAAGGAAAAGTGATGGTGGTGGGGGAGCGATGGATGTGGCTCTAAATATACTAAATGTAAATATTAACAAGTATGAACAACGCCAGTGCAACCAGTTAGCAGAGAGAATCCTTTTCAGTGTGGTAGTGTTGGCAAGATCTTCCTCTTATTTTTCTTCACACCACTGGTTCTCTTTGCGTACCTGCGGAAGAGAGGGACAAATTAATAATCCACAAAGGTGTGGAAGGCAACTTTGTGATCACCATTTTAATCCCATCCGCAACATCCAAGTGATTTCTCGTTGCTTATGAAAGTCTTTTGTTTTCTGACAGACAGCTGATGGGTTGGAATAAGTACCTGGGCTTCCTCCTCCTCTGTGAAATCATTTTTGATGTTGAAAGTCTTCCTGATCTCCTCTGGGGTTTTGCCTTTGATCATGTTGGCCACCGTCTTGCAGGTGACATCTAACAGGCCTTTGATGTCCAAATAGTTGGCGGCCTAAACAGAAACATGGAGATATGAATGAGGAGCTGCAGGAGGGAGGGAGGCGGTGAAAGAGCACACAAGGACAACTGATACCTCAGCAACACTTAGATCTCTGAACCCAACAAAGCATATTGTGTTTTGGATTTGTTATTTACACCTGAATAAAGTAAAAAGCGTATTTTGAATTACCAATCCAGTCTGATGAGGGATGATAGTTATCCCTGAAAAGCATTTATATACAATTTATTTTAAAAAACAAAACAAAAAACCCCCACACACCACACCTTTCCCATCGTCCTTAAGTAAATTACCCTGTAGAAACCATTTAGCCTTACATATGCTGAGCAGTGATTGCTTAATAAGACTTCTGCATTGATTTTCATAAGGCACAGGAGCAGCTGCTGTGCTCTTCTGAACCCCTTCCTCTCAGCCTTTGTGCTTGTAAACATATTCAAGTCACGGGGGGTGGGGTCAACTCAGGTTACTGACGCAGGACCGTCGCTTTCATTTCCACGAAGCTACAGACACACCACCCATTTATCCATCTCTTCCAGGCATTGCTAAGGTTACATTTTACATGAACCTCAACATCACTCCATGTTGTTTCACACGTTGAGAAAGGTGGAGGGGAAATTTTTTTTTAATTTTTTTATTTTTAAATGAATAAATGAGTCTTTCCAAATCCCTCCCTCTTCTAAACACAGTTGCCCAAACCACCAGACCTCCAGCTGTTGCTAAGCAACATTTGTGTCTTGCTTGAACTGGCCACTGAGCGAAATAAATAAAGTATAAGAAATAATTTTTCTAAGAAAGATGAAGCATATTAAAAGGACTACAAGAGAAAATAAACACTGTATATAGAAAGGTGCATAAAAGTGATTACAATTTAAAAAAAGAAAGAAAAACAAAAAAAGCCACTATTTATCAACTCCAGCTGCTGACTCTGGATCAGCACTCCAGAGCCAGACCATTTCCATTTAAACCAATTCTGCTACAGCCAGTAGGATATTTCACAGACCTGTGACAGGTCCTTGTAGATTCAAGTAGATTTTGCCAACTGTGAAGTTTGAATACATAAAGAAAAATGCCATTTCCACAGCTCAACTATATGAATGCACGCCGCTCTCCCTCTCTCTCACACAGAGTACTTGGGAGACAACTATACAACACAAGCTACAACACTATAAATGCATTAATTCACATAAGTATTTGGACTTCTCAGTGTAAAGCACAACCTTAACATTTAAAACCTCAAGCAAAAAAAAAAAGTCAAGCCTTTCGAGACCTGTTTAGCGGGGGAAAAAAAAAACCCACACACAGAGTGCATGAGAAAAGCGTTTGCCTCCTGTGGTCAATACAAACAAATGTGGAATAATTCCCTTAATTGTAACGCAAAACATCAACTTTCCTTCTGCTTTGGTTTCTCTGCCTCCTGCCAGCTGAAGGTCTTGTTTTTACTGTCCGCCGCCACCACATGTCAAAAGTTGTTGGTAGGTTTGTTGAGCTTTTGACCCTAAGACCGCATCATAGTTCTGATGCGGCACCGAGAGCACTGTTGTGAAGCACAAACCCACAAACCATTAAAAAGTAGTTTCAGAGAATAGCTTGTGTTCTTTTTTTGGCCGTTTTTGGGAAAGCACCTGAACACTTACGAAACAGCGATTAAAATCACACGACATAGCATAGTGTTGTCTTTATAGCTTGTGATATCGTACCCTTTTGTCATTACGCCCAATAAAGAGAAGATAACGTTAAAAGTTGGGTGAAATATAGTGATGGGTTTCCTGCTGAATGGTATAAGAAATCTGGAAAAGAACTGATACCCTTACTCCACCTGACTTTTAGTTAGAGTCGCACTAAACATGTGATTCCCTCTCTTGGAGGGAGGCAATTATCACAGTACTACCAAAAGCACAAACACAAAAGGAATACTGCCAAAATGACAGGCCTATATCAGTGTTAAATGTTGATTATAAAATCTACACTGCAGTCTTAATGGTGGCTGTAGCTGTAGCTCAGGTGGCAGAGCAGGTCAGCCACTAATCAGAAGGTGGGTGGTTCGATCCCAGGCTGCATGCCAAATATCCTTGGGCAAGATACTAACCCCATGTTTGCCTACTGGTGGTGGTCAGAGGGCCCGGTGGCGCCTGTGTCCAGCAGCCTCGCCTCTGTCAGTGCGCCCCAGGGCAGCTGTGGCTACAATGTAGCTTGCCATCGCCAGTGTGTGAATGAATGGGTGAATGACTGAATGTAGTGTGAAGCGCTTTGGGGTCCTTAGGGACTAGAAAAGCGCTATTCAAATGCAGGCCAATAGGCTCCAGTCATTTATACCAGACCTGATAGAGGAGGACAAAGCAGGTTTTGTCAAAAATAAACCGGCACAAGATATTAGAAGGACCCTACACATTATATAGCAACTACATAAAGACAATATACCGGCTCAGTTGATACGTTTTGACAAAGAAAAAGGCCTTTGATCGAGAGAGAGAGAGAAAGGAATTTAAAAGAATATTTTCATGCTGCACAGATACGCCAGATAACATATTGGTGTAGTGATGATTATGGGGCTCGCTGGAAGGATGTGGAGCTCTCCACACTCCATGTCCCAATTCAAACAAACATAGGTATTAAAAAAGACGCCTGAATACATAACTAAAGACCAAGATAGGAACCCGATAATATCCTTTAAATTAAATATATGATATGGCACAGTAAAGGAGTTAGGAATTGGTAAAGAGCTTGGATTGCTAAAATGGGTTGCTTTCGATGAAAAATTTAGACCAGGACAACTGGACTTTGGTTTCAAAACATCACTGAGAAAGTGTGGTATGAAACGTGGAAAGAACATAAAAACAACTCAATCATTAAAGTGGAGAAAATTCATTTGGGAAAAAACTAATTTGCTTTTTTATTACACCTAAGATTAAAAATAAACGAACCAATACACAACAACAGTGTTGGAAGCTGATCATACACACATTTTCTAGAAATGTAGAAAAATTTCACACTTTCTGGGTCAAAATTCACTCACCTCTCTGTGATATATTAGATTATATAATTCCCAGAACTTGCCTTGTTTTGTATCTTGGATACTTTGAAGGTGCTGTACATGTAAAGACCACTACTTGGCTAAAATTCTCCTTTCTGCAGCACAGAAGGCCATAACCAAAAACTGGCTTAAGACAGAGGCACCAGGAAAGAAGCAGTGGAGGAGGACATAAAGAAAAACAAAAACAAAAAATAAATAAAAAGGTTGGGTGAAGTGCAGCAGCTCAGGACTCAGAGAAGGAGGATTAAGTGACAGACACATCAGTGGGATTATGTGACAGTCACTGCAAAGAAAGGGAGGGATACTTCACTGTAGCTAACTGCAGGGACACCATTGACAGGCTTGCAGTTTAACTGAGCATCTGTTAACCACTGTTTTTGTTTTCTTTTGTTTTAAAAAGGTCCTTTTTCTATTAAAACTGCTTCAATACAAATATAGACAACTCAGTAAGATTCATTTGCAATGATGTGATAATCAACCATGTGCAGGGGTTGCTGTTAAGGTTAGGTATAGGGCAAGGTTTTGCTTACACCTGTTAGTTGTAGTTCAATCCAAAGAAAATGCAAAATAATTCAAGTATGTTTACCAGAATGAGTTCAAACAAGGTGCCTTGGTCCACTTTGAGGAACTCCTGATCCCATACAGGGATGTCATCTGTCCTTTTCTCCTTGTTCTCATCGTCCTCAGGAGGAGGGGGGTCATCTTTGTGATGAGTGCACCACTGAATCACCTGAAAAAGAAAGACAGACAATAACAAATAAACATGTGGTTTTAACCAAGGTAACCCATTATGCACAGCACCCATCAGCTGTTTAAACTGCCCATAAAAGGTTTGAATACCAAAATTAAATGGCA